AGGAAAGAAGCTTGCATGCGGCAGCCACCACTGCTACCTACCACCCTGTGCTGTTGCTGCTCCCCATGTAGCCACCGCTACCCCATGCTCCATGTCCAGCTGCCAGGAGTGCACTTATTGAAAAAGGTTGAAAACCCCTGATATAGTATATAACACTTTATAATACAGATGTTTTCTTTGGAAGAAGACAATTGGCCAAGAAATAGTTTTTTGGTCTCATCCAACAAAAGATTTCCAGCAGCACAGCGCTACCTAGCAGTACAGACTGGAAAGGCAAGTACCATCTCCTGATTTAACAGCATTATAAATGCAGTTCTTAGAGGATCCTTGGAAGCCGCCCGCTCCAAATACAACCTGGCTTACCTCTGAGCCAATAAAATCTGGAGAAATTACTAAAAAAAGACCATAACAAGAAAGCAACAAAAGTGGTGTGATAACTCCAGCAAGAGATCAAAGGAAAGATATCATAATATTATCTGTTATTCTTACCAGTGAGTGGTACTGTTGCTGAAGTAATAGATGGCAGAAAGATCCCTGGCACTGGCTTTGGCACTGGACATGTCCTTTCCTTCAAAAAGGATTGTTGCACTTGAAAAGTTATTCCTCCTTCCCCTTCTTCCTCATCATCCTCTTCCAAGTCAGAGATGTGGTAGACAACATCCTCAGGCAGTAGAGTGAAGCCTTTTGTGACAACACCTGGTCGTGGGTCAAGGATGGTGCCCAAGTTGGGTTGAGCAAGTTGCTGCCAGTGAAACAAGGTCTGAGATCCTAATGAGTCAAAAAAAACCCAAACAAACCAGTCTGAAGCAGTCTCTTATCACCATGCCATAAAGAGTATTTGAAATATACTGCCAAAACTACTTGGCCAACTACTGCTGCTATCATGAAATACAAGGGGAATTAGGTGGATAAAAGAATTAAAACAGGAAATATCAAATACTAGAACAAACCTGCCATTGCACTTGGGTCGTCTGAGCTAGTTAGGTAGAAACCTTTTAGTAGGTGTCTGCCTTAAGAAAAAACTCATTCTCCAAGTGCTTCTGATTCTGCAGTGCAAAAAGTCAACACCCAGATGCAAAAACATGAATGTGCAGAGAAACTCTGATTTAATTGTTAAAAGCAGCCATTTCTCTACAAGTCCAGCTCTGTGAACATCACCATTTGCTGGAGACCGAATGTAAATCATTCTCTTACCTTCAAGAGGTTTCACAATTTGTAGTTTCTCTGGCATGAACATACGGAAGCTGCTACAGCTCCCAGAAAAGTCCATGAGTTCTGAGTTTGTCCCCAAGGAAAGGGAACTCTCTGTTGGTGTGCTGCAACTGCTACTCTCTTCTTTCTGGTTAACCAGTGAACACATCTTGCGCTGCCATTCCTCCTCAAAGAACTGCTTTTCACTCAGGTAGTTCTGCCGACGAAGGGAGAGTCTATGCAGAGCTGTAGTTAAATCATTATCTGCTGTGGTTCCAGGCTGGCCCAGTTTTGAGGTATCCCTGTGGGGAACATGAAATTAGGCAAGGGAATTAAGACAAATGTGCTCATTACTAAAGGACAGTATTCCCCTTCCGTATAACAGAGGTACTGGTTAGATTTAAATTTTGGAGTCAGAATGATAATTCCTATGTGTGTGTTATCACAGATAATCTAAAATTATATCATCTTTTTTCTTACTTCGCGATTTCCTCCGAATTGCTCCTTCTGGCCAGCTGTACCTTGCTCTCCAACTGATGTAAGCCACATTGAAAGGGCTTTGCTGTCATAACAACGCTTGAACGATTAGATCCTGGGATCGGTAGTGGGGCAGGAAAGGAGAAAGAGCGACCACGTGTGACATTAGCAACTCTGACAGTATCAAATACCCGCTTTTGCTGAACCCTGAAAGATAGAAAATACACATGCATAACAATTTTTACATCTATACAACACTGAACTGACCAATCACCAATACTGTTACTCTCTAAAGGAATTTTGGGAAGGTTACAACACTCAGTTTTAAGCAACAGTTTATTAAAAGACTTATGTGAATGTGGTAGATGAGGGTCAGCAACCTTTCAGCAACAGCAGGCTGAATTAACAAAGCTTGGTTCTAAGTTGGGCCACCATCTATTGCTGCCAAGTTCCCACACTAGTACCATCTCAACTTGGTGGACCGGATAAACTTTTCTGTAACTCGTATTTGGCCCACAAGCTACAAAAGTTGCTGACCCTTGCAGTAGGAGCCTCCCATACAGATGCAAATAGCAGAAAGGCAGTAGAACCTGCCTGTAGCTGAAGAGATTATTAGGAGGGATGTACTCCTGTCAAAGACTGCAATTTCCACCTTGTATGGACTTGAAGGAACAATAGATTGTGATATTTGTATCACCCTGGAACCTCCAAGATCAAGAAAATTTTAAGAGCCTAAACCTATAGTCCCTACATATGGAAACAGGCCTCCAAGGTACTGAAAACTGGTATTCATCTTTCAGCTCTAGTTTCCCCTCTATACAATATAGAGTAAGGATGAAACCAAGTACAATATAGAAGCTATTTTATAAGCCTTCAAAAGTTAAATATAAAAAAATATTCTTTCAGTGAACTTTTTAATGCTCCCATAAAACTCCATAGTAAAGCTACATATTTTACCTCTATGAAAATATACAGAATTGTTTAAAAGTGTCCAGTGCTTGAAGGTTATTTTCTATTAGTGATATTGATTTTTTGTTCAAGGAGGAATATCCAGGTTTATCCTCTCCTAATGAACTCTTGCACCTCATTTACAGACTTACAACTCCTGGTATTGGCACATGTACATCCTGTTTTGTTCCGTGTGAAGCAGAATGCTCAACTTACTTTTGTTTAGAAAGGGCAGATTCTTCATCCACATTCAGCTCCTTACGCATTGTCCCCTCAATCTCTGCTGCAAGAGATTCCTGAATGGGAGAGGAAAGAAAGAAGGGGTAAGGGGAGGGACAGCCAAAAGGGTTCTGAGCAATTTTGGAACTAAACATACTTTAAAAAAAGCTCTATTATCATCCATACATTACTAACTGATATTAGTACAAGATATACACGGTATAGCTGTAACAGCAAACCTGCATAGTAAAATTCAGGTTATTAGCTAAAAATGATTGTATTGGGGTAACACACTGGTTCCATTAACAACACTGATGGTGTAACTGTTAAGTGTTGTGACTGTTTGGGGGAGGGGTTTACTGGTGTAGCAACATCCCTGCAAGAGAATAAACCCTTAAATCAATATTAGGCTCAGGGTTTTTTCACTGCTACTTCACTACAGAATAAATATTGCTGTTAAAAATGGCAGCATTTTCCCCTACATCTTCTTGAGTGGAATTACTGTGATCAGCCATTCCTGAGAGCAACCATATAAAAGTACATTCCACCAGGTTTCACTGGAACTTCTCAGTATAACACGCTAGCAATTTAATCACTAGAAAATAGCTAGATGCAGAGAAGTCCAGTTCATAAAATACTTGTTAAAAAATTAAAATCCTGCAAAGAATTATCATGGCATCATAATTGGTCTGGTACAAAACTTAGCTAAATTTATACAGAGAGATGGTAAGGGAGTGAGGAAAGAAAAGATTGCATCAATGCATGTGAAACCAAATCAGCAATAGGAATGTAGAAGACAAAGAAGGACATTTTAAAAGCCATTATACAGTGAATGAATGACTCAAGATGTGTATATGCTAAAGATAATTTCAGATTTTAAAAGAGCTGGAAAGTTGTTAGATTGAATTAATCCTTTTGCCACCTCAAGGATAGTTTCCCTTGCAGTTCTAATAACAAAAACATGCAATTGTGGTTTGGTCCTTGTAGTTTCATATTACCAAGAACTGTTGTTACAGCCTTATGCTACATCAGTATGAATGCACAATGCAAGAAGAAACCCCTGGATTATTACCACAGGAAACGTTCCGCATGAGTGGGGTCGGCAAAGAGAAGCAGAGCTGGCTTTACTGCGCAGATACTTTACTTCTTCTTGCGATTCATGCAACATCCCCAGACACTCCGCATTCCGATCTTGTAACTCATGCAACTTTAACAGGAAACAAAAGTTATCAATATATCCAGCAACACTTTACAGTCAAGAGAAGCAAGGCCATTATTACAATGACAACCTGCATTTACCCATCAGAAATCTATATAATTGAGACTTATTGCAACCCAGTAATTTTTCACACAAAGTAGAATACAGAAACAAGTGATCTGCAACCCTGTCAAGGTACTCTAGGAATATTGACATGTATGTGATAACTACATGAGTGTGACTCATCAGAATGATTGGACTGAGTTATTAAAAAATAATCTGTTCTCTTGCATTCATTTGGCTCTGTCCACACTAGGATCTAACAACACAAACCCCCTTTTCTCTCTTCATTTCTTTTTTTCTCTCCCCCTATTTTAAAAAATAAATAAATCTCCAATACCTCTGCTGTAAGCTGCCTCTGGGCATCTTTAGAAGCCTGCAGGTGAAGCTTCAGTTCTTCTTTTTCAATTACATGCTAAAGCAGAAGGGGAAAAAAAGAAAAAACCCAAGGGTGTTCATATTTTCTCTTTTGCTTCTAGTGAGCGAGTTGAGTATCATCTGAAATAACCATCCTCTTAAAGCTGTAACGTCTATCCTGTTACCCCTGTCCATACTGTATGTACATACCTCTTTGAGTTTATGTTGAAGATCAACAATCTGAGACAAAAGGGATGAGATCTCTTCCTGGTAGCGAACCAACTCCTCACTCTTTTCCGATAGCTCCTCTGTCATTCTAGCAATATGAACATTTGTTTCTCCTAAAACACAGAACAATAAGTCTTCAGTATGCCACATTCCTAGAAACACCAAAAATAGAAATTTCCCAGCAAAAAGTGAACATATAAGCTTCAACGGGAAAGTAATTCTGACAGAACCAACTCAGGCCTTAGATCAAGCACAGGACAGGACACTTGTGAAAACTTAAGAAACTTAAATATCCTGGATGACCCCTTACACCCAGTGTTGACATCCCACTGGTATATTGGTACCTAACAGTTCTGCAGGGATCACCATATCTACAATAAGTTGTTAGTTTTTCCTAAATGACATAACTACTCACGCAAGTCCACTTTGCTGTTTTAATAACTAGAATAAAGCATTAAACAACAATTAAGTAAAAACACTTTGAAAATACATGTTATTAAAATGAATTTTGGTAAATATTACTGGTCTCGACATGCTGAAGGGGAGAAACAGGTGTCCAAGACTCAGTGATACACAATCCCATGTAGCTCAACCACTTATCCAGATACGGATATAAGAGCAGAGAAATCATGAGCCACCTTAAGGCATACAAGACCAAGAAGGGGAAAGATGTACAAGTAGCCCCCATCACAGGGATGATTTTAGTGCATATAAAAGGTTCCTAGCATCAGATTTATGATTGTTTTTGGAAAGTTAAGGATGATGTATTAATAGATCTAAGCCATTGGAAATTAGCTTAATGTCTAGAGTTAGGATTCAAAATAATGTGGTAAGAAAGAGTAAAACTACTTCCCCTCCTGACACTTTTTCTGTGTCATCTATATTGATTATAAATTCTTTGGGAATAAAATCATTTTATGAGTCTAAAGTTCCCAGCACACCTTTGTGAACTATAAAACTAGACAAACAAACAAATACATTCCTCTTACTGGTGGTACAGTGGAAAAGTTATGCAAGACAACTTCCACCAACCTCCTCTCACTGAAAACACATAGCTTCAAGGAGGATGTAATAAAGTAAGCAATCACTCAAACAGGCACTGATCCAGAGTACTGTACTGTTATACAGAATAAAATGCAAATCATCAAGTTTTTTATGGTGATTACATGGAATAAAATAATCTCATAAGATAAGTACTTGTTTGTAGTGCATAGGCAAGGAGGCACGCACCACATCAGTACAAGTAAAAGTTAAAAACCACTAGGTTACACAAAATAGCAAAGACATCAAATATGTTCTTTTGTATTCCATGCCCTATTGCACATCTGTGTAAGGTAGTTATACTTGCAGATAGGTAACCTACAAAGAATAAAGGCATTACTGTTACAGACATAGAGATTTTATTGCAGCTGCTGCTGCTTTTAAGTCTACTATGCATTTATGTAATTGGAGCTATGCTCATGGATCCAGGATGTTTAGAATGGGTACCCAAGAGGCCATGTACTGATCAGCTGAACACTATCAAAAACAGATGTAAAATCCACTATGCAGAATGACAAATGTGACATTCTCAGACATCACCTTAACATCACCTTCTATGAGCATTATTAGGCTTAGCTCTCTTTTTAAGATCACAGATGTCCGATAGGCATTCAGTCCATACTGAATACACATATTTTTATTTTTTGACACAATTCTGTCATGGTGAAGGACTGTAGAAATAAATGTCCCCAAGTCAAATATCATCCCGAATGGGGCAAAACAGCAAGACTCAAAACATTATTAAATAGCAACTTCTGAAAATAATTTCTAAACTTGAAGACCATAAATATACACATAGATTTATCTATGTGTGAGCATATAAATACATTTTTGTATACTGCTAGTTCTCTAGAAGTACTGTAGAAACTGGGGAGAGGTGTTTGCTTCTATTAGGAGATACAACCTGGATACTCACGGAGCTCTTTAACACAGTCGCTGACTAGCTGCTGCTCCTTTTCTTCATATGTAATTGTTTCTGTCTTTAAATGGCAAGCCTTCAAGAAAATTATAGAGATTTAAACTTACAGATCATACTTGTACCTGAAATAATTACAAAGATTATTGCAATGAAAAGGTTTCTACCTTATTTTTCTTGTGCAACTAACATTAGCTGAGTTTGTTTTTCTAAAGCCAGGTTTCCTTACCCATGTGCATCTTGCACACAAAAGTAGAAGAGTGGCTATTTAAAAATAATGGGCAAGTTATTGTCAAAAACGCACGAGCCATGTTAGGGGAACTTAGGAATAAATGCAGCAGTTACAGCTAGGCTACTTGAGAATTAACTACCCATACAAATATTTTTCTAAGAAGGAACCCTTAGTCTGCCAACTGAATGGTAAGTTACCTATATCTACGAAAGCCACATAAGCCTTCAAATGCTAACGAAATAGGCAAGAATATTTCCCTCCGTCCCTCCAATCCTTCATCTGCCTCGTCATTTAGACTGCAAGCTCTCTCAGCCAACAATTTTCTCCTGCTACAGAATTTATACAGCAGGGGATCTCCCCTTTCACTTGTGGTACCCTAGGTGCTTTCAAATAAATATAAAATCATCAACCATGACCTCTTTTTACCCAATAACCTTTCATTTGGTGCAATTTGCTGGTAACTGGTGATGACTTAATCAGAAAGGGACCAGCTGGCAAAGTAATGCTAAGGGGCAACCAGCATGGGTTCATAGCAGGCAGATCCTGCCTGACTAACCTGGTTTCTTTTTATGACTGGGTCACAAAATGCTTGGATGAAGGAATATAGGTAGATTGTTATTTACTTTGATTTTAAAAGGCCTTTGACATAGTGTTGCACCCAATTCTTATAAATAAACTAAACAGTTGCAATGTGCACCCTGTTCAAGTTTGCAGATGACACCAAACTATGAAGGGAGTTAAACAAACTAGAGGGCAGGGAGCGAACCCCGGCAGACTTAGACAGGCTGAGGAAGTGGCTGGAACAGAATAGGGTGCAGTTTCACAAAGATAAGCGTCATGTGTTGCACCTGGGGAGGAAGAATCCTCAACACTCCTATAGCCTGGAAGGTACCACTCTAAGCAGCACAACTGCAGAAAGGGATCCTGGAGTTGTAATAGACTCCAAAATGAACATGAGTCACCAGTGTGAGGAGGTAATAAGGGTGCAGTTAGCTTTACTTTCTTGCATAAGCAGGTGCATCATAAACAGGTCTAGGGAGGTGATACTTCCCCTCTATGCAGCATTGATCAGGCCATAGCTGGACACAGTGAGCCTCAGTTACAGGGCCCTTCCATACTGGCAGGGCAAGAATCCTTTTTTTTTTTTTTCTTTTTATTGTAGATGGGGGCTGGGAAAAAACCCATTAAGGTTGTCTGACACTCACTGTGAGTTAGTTATTTCATCAAACTTTAGCCACTTAGGTTGTAATTTTCCATGTTGGATGTCTGCCTCTGGTTGATTTTTTTTGGAATAATTTCTGCCAAAAAATGGTTTAGTGGCTTTAAAAAAAACAGGCTAGAGAAAAATATTATTTTGCTCACTGTGTCCAGCAAAATATTATTTTGCTCATTGTGTCCAGTTTTGGGTGCCACACTTCAGGAGGGATGTAGATAACTTGGAAAGGGTTCATAGGAGGGCCGCCCGTCTACTTAAAGGCCTACAGAAAAAACCCTACAAGGACCGATTGAGGGACCTGAATCTCTTCAGCCGAGGCAAGAGAAGGCTGAGGGGTTATCTTGTGGCCATCTACAAACTCATCAGGGGGACCGCAGGAAATAAGGGATATGATGTTTACCAGGGAACCCACTGGGGTAACTAGAAACAGCTGCCACAAACTGAAGGACAGCAAATTTAGACTGGACTTCAGGAAAAAATTATTTACAGTGAGGGTTGCCAAAATATGGAATACACTTCCAAGGGAGGTGGTGCTGTCCCCTTCCTTGGAGGTAATTAAGAGGAGATGGGCCAAACACCTGGCTGGGGTCATCTGACCCCAGCACTCATTTCTGCCCAGGGCTGGGGCACAGACTCTGTGATCTAACAGGTCTCTTCCAACCCTAAAATCTATGAAATCTATGAAAGTTCAGTGACTGGTTTTAAAAATTTATTCCAGTGAAAAGAACTGTAGATAAACACACTTTAAATAGCTCTTGACAGTTCGTATGCAATTAAGCCAATCAACCCGTTCTATATGCCTGCTGCTATTTAATACACACAAGGGAAGTCACATAACAAACCACAATAAAGCCATAACACAGCCTCAGTTAAAGGACTCTTCCATACTGGCAGGGCAAGAATTCTTTTTTTTTTTTTTTTCTTTTTATTGTAGATGGGGGCTGGGGAAAAAACCCATTAAGGTTGTCTGACACTCACTGTGAGTTAGTTATTTCATCAAACTTTAGCCACTTAGGTTGCAATTTTCCATGTTGGATGTCTGCCTCTGGTTGAATTTTTTTGGAATAATTTCTGCCAAAAAATGATTTAGTGGCTTTAGAAAAAACAGGCTAGAGAAAAATATTATTTTGCTCACTAAAAAAATCCTGATCACGTTTTCTTGGAGAAGCTTTGGAGCAGAAAGATCACCGTAGAGACATACCCTATACAAAAGACTTCTAAGAAAATCTGCCCAAATCTGTCCAATTTATAAATCACTGAATAATCTCAGTTTGCATATGCTCTGTACAGATACATAGTGCTTATTTATAATTCCCAGTAGATTCTTGTCCAGGGTGGGAATGCTCCAGCTCAGTATTAAGAAAGACTTTCCTCCAGTTGCAGCTGTGGACTGCTGCAGAACATGCAGGATACTTAAGCGTAAGTGCAGGAAGTGGATCTCTCCAATGTTTTCACCTGCAACCTGCTGGATCAGAGTACACAAAGAAAGAAAATACCTGCTACAAGTGGTGAGTGCAAATGGACCATCTTGAGAGGTAAGGGAAGCAGACTGGGACGAAGCCTGGAGGACGGGTGGAGGGGTATTGGGAAAGGGAAGTTTGAAAAAGAGGAACTGGAACTAGCTGCGTTCAGATTTGTACTGATGACACTGGGGTCACAGCCTATGAACCTCAGGTCTTGCAGCAGTACACACCCATGAATTATGGGTGCCAGATAAGTTGGAGCAGGAAACAGTCACAATCAGAAAAAAAACACCCCTATAGCTTTGAAGCCTGATGAACCATTCTCCCACCACCACAGGCTGTTGCTCTTTTCCATCTAATTTTTATTCAAGAAAACCAGTTGAGGAGGAAGATTGAAAAAAAAAATGGGAGGACGCAAGGGAAAGATGTGGCTAAAAAATGGAAAAAGGTCTGTATTCCAATATACCCCCTCTACCTCCAAATTCTAGCTTGCATCACAGCAATATTTTAGTGCCAAAACAGCTGCTGTAACATGCAACTTAAGCCTAACACTGACTGAGGCTTTTTATAGGATCTAAAGTGTTTTTAAATCCAGGGTTTGAGGCAGTTTGGTATTTTAGAAGTCACGCTACATACTTCCAAACCTGAGATATGAAAGTTCCATTTCCCTGAGCTACTCAGAATCACTTGTCAAAAACCAAATGTCTGACACAGACCTTTAAACTGTGAGGCATCTCACAGGAATGAGCATCCCACACAGCAGGTGGGAGGACTTTAAGGAAGTAGGACCAATTTAATTCTGATTCCTCATTTCAACATTATCTGTATCTATAGATCTAGATATATAGATCTTATTTAGTCTATAAAGGTGCATCTCTACCCTGTCTTTCAACATTTTTAATGCCAAGCAATAAGAGCAGTAGATCTGTACAGCACTAATTACTGTATATATACAAATGAATGGAGTCCCTTACAGTGAGACACTGTTGACAGTTTTGTAGACAACTCTGGTTGCAGTGCTCTGCAGTCACATATAGCAGAAAAATGCTCAAGCCCATCAGAAGCTTTTACACTACAGAGAGTGATAACTCTCCTGATGGAAGGCTATAACGGAGCACACAAAACTGTGTAACCCTTAAATAGGTTAATCATAAATAAAAGTATCTGTACATCTTATTTCCTGTAGCCCTTATATTTTGGTTCCACAAACACCATTGTTCATTAAGAGTTTCATTAAACTCTAGTTCCAGACCTCATAAAAACATACTATTTATATCTACAGATTAGATATGTGCATTTGATTTGAAACACAAATGGTCTTATTTAAATTCATAGTGCTACTCTGTGCACATGGAGTTTAAAAGACTGGGCTCTTAGCTTATAAACTCCTCATCTAGAGGACAAGCTGACAAGCTGTAACTTTTTAATCATGTTGGCTCATTCGTATCATCAAAAAAGTATACTAACTTGAATATGCGTTTAGATAATTATGCACCATGCAAATCATAAGGTCCTACAGGCCTAGGTAATTTTAGGTAGATGGCTAAATGTGAACTAATTTAATATCATATGCCATAAGGACACTGTGGTGCAGTTGGATGAAGCCACTCTACAAGCTGGGTATTATGAACTTTGAAGACAACTATGGACGAAGCGAGAAGTCTGAAGACAGCAGAGCTGGGGCCTACGTCCATAATTAGGTGCAGAGATCACTCATAATCCTATATTTTTATGACATGAAACAAACAGTTTGCTGTATACAGTACAAGTTATGCATACCTTTGATCGGAGAGCTAGGTTCTCCTCCTCCAGTTCCCTGAGTTTATCCTGCAAAATATCCAGCTGCAAGAGACCATGTGACACACTGAAGGACTCATTGAACCGAAGTGGTGTTGAGCAACTGGAGTCTGTCTCACTTTCCTCAGAAGCAATTGAGACAATACGAAGCAATTCATCTTTCTTTGATAGTTCATGTTGCAACTGATTAACCTATGTTCAAGAAATGCATTTGTTTACAAAAAGATTCAGCTTCCAAATTCTTCAGTTCAGTTTAAACTGTGGTAACCCCCTGCAAACTGTGCCCAGCATATTTATTTATTTAACACTGGAAGCTCAGATTCCGTTTAGTCTTGAAAACTGACTGCTGTAGAACTAGTTAAACTATTTTTAAAGGTGTCTCAAGCAGACCATGCAAGAGGAGACAATGAAACCTGTTTTATAGTAAAATCGAGTATGCTTAGTTTTTCTCATTATTGATACCTTGAAAAGCAAACTGCACCTGAAAGGCATTATCTGTTTGTCATGAAAAGAAGGGTGGAGGGTTCTGCCTTTGAAAAATGTATTTGATTCAATGTACAAGTCAAGGAGAAAAGAAAACAAAAGATGATCAGATACTGAAAGTTAAGTTTGCTTTACTTTGCAAATCTAAGTGCTGATGCAAGTACACAAACCCACTTATGGTCTGGTCAGGTGTGAACTCGCATTTTATATCAGCATGCTCGTTTACATGTGCAACTGCAAGCATTTAACTGAAAAAAATCTAGATTTGGAATGCACTTGTCATGGAAGCAAGAGGGAAACTTTATAGTTGACAGGCTGCCAACATAATTTCATACTTTATTAGTTTCTCTAAAATGGCAACAAAGGTAAAATCAATTTGAACAGAGCAGGGGGGGGAAAAGGTAACAATGCTGAATAAGAAAAAAGAGGTGGATTTGTGCTCAAAACCTAATAAAGTGAGACTCTAGAACAGAACCCAGGCCTCATGTCAGGCTTCTTGTGCAAGGTAAAGTAGATCAGTTAATCTCTGTGGCAGTTTCCTCACTTGTAAAATGGTGATAGAATCAGAAGCTGAATTCTTTGTTCAAAGTTCAATAAACTCCTTGGATTTATGCATAATAAGGCCAGGAGGTTAGATCAGATGATCTGAAATGGTCCCCCTCCTGAAAGCACAATTTTATTCAGAACAACACCAAGCTACCCTTAGATTCCCCTCAATGACTGCACTATTCAATTCTCATAGCTATTCACTGGAATAATGCACCTAATAATTAGAATACATTCAAATGCATATTTTAATCAATCTTTAGAATAGGTGTGGTTACCTGTTTCTATTGTAATAAAAATCCTTCTGCCTCGTCTACTAAAACAGACGTCCCTCATCTTGCCATGTTAAAAAAAGTCACTCACTTGGTCTAAGGTTTGTCCTAGCTGCTCTTCTAATGCTTCGTTCTGTTCTGTCAGGAGATTGTTCCGCTTAAGAAGAGCTTGTCCAATCCGGGCTGCGAGCTCCAGGTCCCGATCCCTCTGCTCACAAAGAGAAGCATTTTTGTTTTTAAAGGCTATATTTAAAATGTAGCCAAATTAAAATTTCTTCAATATATTATCTAGCTCTTGATATCCTGCAATCCATTTTAAACAGTAAACTATTAAAGCAATGCCTGTTAGAGCAAATGGTTCTCAACACTTGACTATTTGCAATGTAGAATACAATAGTGGCCCCAGTTTCAGCCATTTGGACAGCCCTAAGTCATGGACACAAAGGAAAACTGATTATAAGGCTGGACTTCTTATTTTGGGGGTAAGTGGCTTGATTTGGGGTGGTACAAGTTCTGTTGAAGGACCATTTTGAGAAACTGTATGCAGTCTTTTGCAGTGCTGTTTCCACTAGAACAGACTGTTGTACTGCAATGAAACAGTGGCGCTGGGAAGAGGGGGAAAGATAGGGCAGAGCAGAGGTAGCAGAAAGATAGAGGCAAATCCTCTGCTTCCTCCCTTTCATCAACTCCCAACAAGGTGTGAAAGATTCTGCTAAAATGTTTTTTCTTCTCAGCTGGTACTGTCTACTAAGTACCCTCTTACAACCCACTTGTGTGTCAGACCCCATTGTCTGGATAGTGTTATGCTATTTTAAGTGAGATCTAAGAGACACTAGGCATTTACTTTTCTCCCTCACATGCAGACAGCTGAATTAGTTTTTTGTAATTTTTGAAAGAGAAGTTGCATCCATACAGACTACCACCAGAATACAAACAAACAGAAAAATAAGTGAGGATTGCTGTACCTCAGCTAACAGATGTTTGAGCAGGTCAACATCACTGTATGTTTTTGTTATCTGCTCTTCGTTGTCTGTGCCCAGAACTGAAAGGGAAAATAAAAATACTTAAAAGATTAATTGTCAGAAAACAAGGGGGCTAGCTTTAAATCTCAAACAGGAGATGGCCAGTCCTCTCAAATATTCTTATACCAAATAAAAGCTAGGTCAAGAGGCTACAAATATCTTAGGAAGCACCAAAGGAAGTTATTTGGGGTCTGATTTAGGGAGGTGCCAAGCACCCACAACTTTCACTGAGGTTATCTGGTATTGAAGGTACCAAACCTAACTAAAGAAAGTGTTTCCTCTAGGGATCAAATTTCTGAATGAAACTAAATTATGGCAGATCTGGACTAGAGGGAGGAGAAAGCAGGAGTCTTGAATACCCAAATATAGCTGAAATATCTGCTGACACTGCCTCTGAAATGCAATGGAGTTGTGATAGTCGCAAGCAAGAAAGAAAACCCATAAAGCGTTAAGACTGAGTACGTTTGCAGGAATTTGCATTATGCTGACATGAAAAGAGACAAAAATATCTATTTGCACTTCAACGTGCCCTAGCACAAACTACTTGTGGTGGTAACTCAAAAGGCATTTGCCCCTTAACATGCTTTTAGTATTTATTATTTTCATAGTTCTTAACAGTACCCAAGAGTAAATGCACTGTTAGAATATTAAAAAACAAAACAAAACAAAGGTTAAGTTGGGAAGAAATCCAACTGACCAGATAGAAAGTAATTATGATTAAAGCTTAATAATCAAAACCATGAGGTACCAATCCCTACCATTTCCTGGCTTTTCAAGAAAAAATAGGAGGTCTCTTTTCCATCAGATTACCTTTTGAAAATGTGTGAGGTCCAGCTAAAGAGGAGGGGGGAAGTTCGGGAAGAGCTAGGACAAGAAGAAATGGAAGACAGGAGAAAGTGCACAAGGGAGAAAAAGAATTAGAATATAAGACTGCCAACAGCATTTCTCCATTATTCAATTACTTTAGTGGATGCATGCATACAGTACTTATATGTAAAAAAAGAAATTTCTCAGTACTACAAATGCTCTAGCAACAGATCTTACAAAAATGAATCAATCATTTTAATGTGTTATACATAAACCCAGCTCTCCACGCAGTTGACTTAAGTTACTAAGACAGTGTAACAAGTCTATGATGGAAAACAAGTATTTCCTTGTGCAGTCCAATGCCATTCAGTCTCAATGTTCACTACATGGACATACATTCAGGTGGACTTGGGATTTTTACCTTACTCCCAAATATTAGTAGCCTGATAAAAGAAAAGTTATGGGGAAGACAACATTTCTGTTTTGCACCAACCCCATTATTTCCAGACTGTCACACAGTCTATAACACTTTATAGGCACACACATGCTCCCTTCACTCACCTTGTAGAGTACAAGCTGCAAGCAACTCTTCAATTTGATTAATGTCATTGTTATCTACTGCTCTGTCTTGGTCTGTCATGTGCAGAGTAGTTGTAAAGATGTTTTGCAGCCAAGGATTGCTGACCTACCATTTACTACTGCAGCAGAGTATCCCTGCATCTCACCAAGAAGCACGACTCGGTGCTCCGTTCTGTTACAAACATTCTTTCAAGCAGCAGTTGCTGAAAGAGGAGGAGGAGCTGAACAACAATAATCTAAGGACGCTCCCTAGATTAATGTATAACGTGAGACATTATAGCTCTGTTCTGATTCTGGGACACTATCTCAAATACCATCCAGGTCACAATCATTCCTTTATATTTACTTTGCTCTTGGTTAGTGCGCTCTTTGGGTGGAGGTCTAGAAGCTACTAATCAATATCTTTAGTCCTGGCACATAAAAGGCAAAAAGATAGATATCTACTGTGAAATAGTATGTTGTACCCATACACAAAAATCAGCCTCTGTTATGCCATTTTCTTTTAGCTACTTGTGAGAAGTAATTCGACTTTCTTGCTGGAAATGCATTCCTTACGCTCCTCCTAACTCAAAGTTTTTAAACATTCTCCTACTTGCACATTCAAACCTTTTCAATCAATTACAATAGCAACTTCTCCAGAAAGCTCTTTAACTGGCCTATCATCTCTCAAAAGCAGTCAGTTTTACTACCAGGACTGATGGGAATAGAAACAATTGATCACTCCCATAGTTGCCTGGAATTTTCATGTGCTGGAGCAGACAGTAATAATCAATGCTGATCCAGAGAAGTAGTGCTGGAAGGGATCTCCAGAAGTCATCTAGTCTAAACCCCTGCCTGAGGCAGGATCTTCTCTATCCAAACCATCCCATACAACCAAAATCTAAACTCTATATCAGATTATTTCTCAACCCTGACACAACATAGAACTAATCCCCCAACCTGCCCCAGGTAAACCATGGTAGCCAAAGTCCTGCTTTATAAAAATCTTGTCAATATACATGCAGGAGGTCCCAGGCAGGGGGCCATGCCCCCCACTGAAGCAGGAAGGGAAACCACCCCAAGTGTCCATGCCAATCTAAGGATAGGGTAAAATTCCTTCCTGACCTCAAATATGGCAATCAGTCTGACTGAGCAGATGAGCAAGACCCTCTAACCAGGAACCTCTGGCTTTGCTCCTACCAAGAGAACCTGCACACCCCAGATTAAGTCCCCAGCCTTAGTTGCAGCCAACACCCAGTGCCTTTGGGGACCTTAAAAACACCCTGACATATTACTAAATTTGACCTTCAGCATAACTTTTCACCACAAAAAATCTTTACAAACCTCTGAACATGAATGAAAAAGAATAGATCATGCTCAACATCTTGCAGCATCAAGTCACAAAACCGCTGAACAAAACATCAATGAAAAGAGACTTTGGGACTGAAGACTAACAATGAAGCCCTCACAATATAACAGCCAAGGAAATTTTGGTGAAGAGACAGTAAGGCAAACCCTTTCCCCCTATAAAAGTGCTAAGGAGCAAGACCTCTGACTCTGGAAGCCTTAATATCTGCTCCAGGTGTGGAAGACTCCACACCCGTGGTAACTCTGCTACTTAATATTACTACTTCCAGGGTGAAACTCTAAGACAACAGCATACCTAGTGTTCATAATATCATAATTTTGTTTGAGAAGAACATCATATCAGGATGGTTTAGGCAGAAAAAATAAGTTTTTATAAAGAACACGAGTGTCTAAAACAAAATGAACACAATTTAATGAATTTTTGTTTAGATTTCCAATGCAAATAAGCAATATTTTGATCTTAAATGTTTCTTTATAGTATTTGCAACCCAAAACTCTGAGCATTAGAGCCAAAGTGATAGTGGCCAGAGGCTGAGATGAAACGAATGAATCAGTTTTCATGGTTTAAGCCACAGGTGCTCAAACCCCAGCCCATGGGCCAAATGTGGCTGGCAGAGTCATGACGTCTGGCCTGCAAGGCTCCTCACAGGTTGGGAAATTTGATGGCAGTGGAGCAGTGGCACTCAATACTGCCACCCCTCCCCCTCTATCAAATTTTCAAGACCCCCTCAGCCAGATCAGGGCCAGGCCATTCCCCCCACGTGGCTAGATTGAAGCTGAGCCAAACCCATTTCCCCTTGCATGGCTGGATCAGGGCCTGCCCTGGAAGCCAGATTGGGCCCACAAGCCAGATCCAGCCTGCGGACAGATCTGGCACCGCCATCTGGCCTGCGGGGCAAAAAGACTGAGCACCACTGGTCTACGATGAACAAAAGATGGACCCCTCCCACCAAAACAACAAATCAATCCCCCACCAAAAAAACCCACCCAAATAACCCAAAAACCCCAATTAGCATTATTGGTTAAATTGTTTCCATAAGCTATGAGGTTATTGATAAAATTTTAAAAAAACGTTTCCGTAAACCACTATGACTGTCCTCTTGATAGCATCTCCTTATATTGTTTGAGCCAACTGCTTTATAAAGCACTTTGATTTTTATTTAAATAATTTTTTAAAGATAAAAGGCCAGTTATATGTTGCTTTCCTCATCTCTTCCCATTTTTGGAGACAGTCATTATTTTAAAGCAAATAGAATCAAACTGTGTAAGGACACTGCGCTGCTATATTTTCATTTTGTTATTTGCACACCTATGGAACCATTGTTTCCTTACAGTTGAAGCCTAAATGGCTTCAGCTACAATACAGGACATGACTCCATGACTCCTAGAGCATAACTGAAGGGCCTTTAACTAAACATACAGATTCCACGACTGTAAAAGTGAATGAGGAATACTTCCACTAAACACAACTATAGTTTTGCTTGCATTGGCAATGTTTTGCAGCTTTCTAAAATCTTTCAATCACCTTATATGTATAAGTTCTTCATTTCAACTTAGGCAAAAACCTCTTCACTACATGACCAGAAATACTCACACATGTAACGAAAGGTCTCCTCAGCATGGACTGGAGAGATGGTCTCAGGCACATGGGTAGGACAGGCTGGGGACTGGATCCAATCTTGGTTCTCATACAGATACAGAGAGTCCACTCGTAGCTTATACTCTGGTAACTGTTCTTCTAGCATGCTCACTAACTCTATTTCACGAACATCCTCACTGGAGCAGGCATCTAAAAGGTAAGCAAATAAAAACCCACAACAGGTTTGTGGAAAATTACTCTATGGTGGAGAAGTTGCACAAGGATAACTTCAATTTGCACTAGCAGCTTTTTACAGTATTTTCACATGCAACCAAGGGGTAGGCTGTCAAAAAACTAATTCAGCAGCAGCATGGGTTATATGAGGGGAAGTTTATCAAGTTCTCCAGTGAAAACAAGAATTCTACAAGGGCTGCACAAAGCCACTTGTACGCACAGCTCTTTTAAAGGACTGTGGACTGCAAGGCAGATTATATGCATGAACATTCTATATTTGCAACCTCCTTATTCTCTTTAACTAATCCTACAAGTCTAGCTGAATACTGATTCTCCCATAGGTTATGTCCTGAATCCAGCATTCTTAAGGACTGTCTTAACACCTTTGAGTACATCATAGACCTCCTAATTTCTATCCTACATTTTTATCTGTTATAGGTTTTACAAACACAATAAAGCCACAGAGGAGCAGCCCTCTTGTAAGGAAAATCAAGATGAACAGTTTTATCCTGTAGCACCTTTCAACTTAACCCTATTTCTTACCTTCCTATTTCTTTTTAATGACTTGCATATTGTGTGACCTTCATATTAAAAGCACCATGTTTGGAGTTCAAATTCTTAAAATACATTTTTATAAAAGTTTCTATAAAGTTATTTTCCCCAAATGCAATTAATTTTCCAAAATAAAAATTAATATATTTTAGCACAATAAAATTTGGTTAATTAGTCATTGGGATTATTCATCAAAATTACCTTACTAGTGGGTGCTGTCACTGCTGTCGATTCCTGCTAGTCTTGCTGATTTATACACAAGACATTTTAGCTAATTTGTCATCTCTTAATGTGCATTTAATCATTTCCAAGTGTAGACACATACTAAACAACAACTACATTTGATTCCGATTATTCACTGGCTTAAAAGGTACCAATCTATGCTCTCTCTGACACCTATCAAAACAGTTGATGTGCCTAGAATAATGAACACTCGTCAGCTTTTCCTGACTCAACAATACAGACAATCATCTGTTCCATTTTGCAGAACTATCTTCTATTTTCACGATGAGTGCATGTAAGAGTGCAAAGCAAAAATTGTTAATTAGTTACTCACCCATAATCATGTAATTTTTCTGTAGCAAGCACTGAATTTTTGCAGTAAGAAACTGTATGCAAATATTTATACATATGATCACAGTTATCAGATAACAAACAAGAGTGCATCATACCTGTATTTGGAATTTTGGTAATATTTTTTATCATCACAAGGGTAAAACGCCCTCCTTTATTTTAATATTGCTTGAAAAATGGCATGGGAAAAAATCTCAAAGGGTTGAGAAGAGATACCTACTGATAATGAGTTACTCATGTAATTAATCACCATCATAAATTCCAATGGAAGGACATATTAACTAGATTTTACTATACTTTATAAACCAACTGTTCCAGATAAATAAAGAGGTCAAAATTAAAGCCACTGTACTTAAGCCAAGGGATTTAATATAAACTTTAAAAATTCAGAATTTATTCACTGGAGAAAATGGTTTTCTCCCCTGTACCGTGCTTCCTTCCCCCTATTGAAGGCTTTGAGGACAAGCTGGTATGGCTTACTATGTAGAGGATCCAACACTTGCTTGTAGCACAGAACCAGTATTGCAAATGAACAACCTTGAGTTAAGAACAGTCTTCAAACTAGCTGCTCTGCAAAGGACTCTATGTAGGTTAAGTTCTAGTGAGTGCTACCTTTCCAACTTACCAGTGATGCTCTCTGAATCTCTGTGGTTGAAATTCATTAGGCTTCCAGTCACACTTTAGCTATTCGGAAACGGTATTCCATAGTCAAGTCATGCAGTGTCCTCTTTTTTTTTCCTCCCGCTTTGATTGAACGATAACTTTGGTTTGAAGTCCAAGTTAATTTAGAGCCATCAGGTTATCAGAGCATCCACTAATTAAATTTTGTCAGCTCAATTCTGCAGATTGGATAATACTTTGGGTCTACTGTTGTCTTGCTTGGCACTTGTACCTATCTATCTATCTATTTCCAAATCCAACTATATTTATCTAATCCATCTATATCTTTCTATTACATTTATAATGCCATGTAGAGATGAGAACTTGAAGTGGAGGTCTCTCTTCAATCATCTATTATCTAGAAGCCAAAGACACAGAATATGTTAGTTTCATAGCTGTCACTAAGTTTAAACCCTAAAAAGGAACCTTCAGTCAATATATTTAGCTTGATCTGTATAAGGAGGTATTTCATTCATAAATCATTAGGTTCAGCCCAGAAACTTTACTTAGACAAAAACAATTCAGGTCTCAAAGTTATTTTGCAATATTACATAAAAAAAATTAGTAAAAGCTGAACCACTCCCTCCTCTACTAAGTAAGCAACTCATTCCCTTTCCACCTGGAAAATATTTAAGGCATATTTAAGGTGTGTTCAATATCACAGGACATTCTCCTTTGCCCTAAAGTTTTATTCAGTGAAAGAGTCCCTGTAAGATCACATACAGAGATTTTGAATGACTTCATAGTATAGGATTTTGGGTCTGCTTTGCAAAATAAATAAATAAATAAATAAATAAAGGACGAGACATGTTGATCTTTATTTCTTCCTGTTATAAAGTGCAATAAAGATCTTGCCCAAACAGAGAAGTTATTTTATCCAAGTCTCACATACTAGCTTACATCTCATTTGCTGCACACATCTGAAATAGAAATGAAGCTTCCATTTGAGATTGGAGTGAATAGCCAGGATGTTTCCAGTAGCACTTTTCCTATCTTTTGGCCAGAACTGAGAGTCTTTAATATAAACTAAAAAAGGTAGGCAATAAATGGCAGATTTTGACTCGAAGAGCCAGGGACAGAGGTCTCCCCAGATAAGCTTTTTAGACAATTACAACTTCAAGAAAACTTCAGACTGCTGAAGATTAGTTTAAAATATTCTTTTAGTGGGAGACCCTGAGGAAAATCTAACAGTCACAACTAGCAAAAATTTGGACTTTCACCCTTTCAAACCGAGAAGAAAACATCAGCATCAAGATACAGGAGGCCATGCTTCCAGTTCTACCATGGAAGTATATCCTTCATTTGTAGTGTTTCGCATTCTTGGTTTTATTTAAAGAAAGAAATCCAGGAATTTTTCAAGGTTATTTTCAAAACAAAAACTGGGATGAAACAGGGGTGAAAGAAAAAAAAAGGGAAAAAACTGGTTTAAATCAGGGGAAAATTGGCAGGGAGGAAGGGAGGGAGTAAGGCTGGGACTACGGAAGAGGTGGGGGGAGCAGCGCGGCACACTCCATCCACCACGCCCGGGACTGCAGCAAGGAACAAAGCGGTGGAAGCTGTCAGTGGGTGGGGGGTGCGGTTCTTATTTTTTTCTCCTCCATCAAAGTTCTGATGAAAAGAGAGAAGCCTTCTAATGGCTTCACTGAGTGGGAAAGTTTATGAAGATGACTGGCTTCCAAAACTGTGACCCATCACATACTGACAATGACAATCCACGAATAATAATTATAAGAACAAATGTGAGAGGCAAGGATTTTCGTGGGTGATATCTTTCATTGGACCATATGTATAGCTAGAAGGGACACAGACAGGCCAAGAAAAAAAACTAATAAAAGCAGCAGCCACGGCTACTGATATACAGAGGCCGTTAACAAGTCTGATTGGAGTTACAAGTCAATGAGAATCATGGCAACACCTTTTTTATGAATGGATTTGTCAAAAGCTGACAAATTTGACAAATCTGAGTTTCCCTTTACAATGATCACACAGTGCATATCATTTGTAAACTGCAGTTATCAGAAGTGTTAGTAGGAGTATAAGCTTCATTGTTGGATTATGTCCCAGAAAAAACACCGCAAGAAGAAATGCACAGAATACTCACTTATATATGCTAGTATAAATCTCCATATGCTCTAGAAAAGCTAGAATACCTCAACAGATATTCTCACAAGCTGGTCTCATCATATTAAGCAGACTTAGTGCTTTGGTTTAAATGCCAAACACACAAGTGACAGTGACACCCAGAGGAGGTCACTAGGTCTCATTTATCTTAAATAAATGAGCTCTAGCTTTTAAAGCAGTGTTTAGCAACCTTTTTAGACTCAAGGCACCCATTGGAAAAAAACGGTGCTTAATTTTCACTCATTTTTTGACTACAGGAGGAGAAAAAGAACATTTGTTTTGTTGTATGTGGGTGCTCTATCATTTGGCCTGAAGAAAGCCATTCCCCATTCCAGAAAGCCCTTGCAGCTTCCTGGGCTTCATACAAATGTTAAATTCTGCATTATCCAGAAGGCCAGCAGGAAACTCATCAGCAGACCCCTGAAAATTGTTAAAATAACAATGCCATTGCAGTTAGTATTTTTTGACATTTCTAGGGTTTCTCATTACATGACTACAACTTGCCATGGAGTGACATTTCTAGAGATCAGAACAGACAGGGTGCTATACAATACCGCCCCAGTGCAGTTATCATGCCTATTTACTCTTTTGTGTTAAAAATAAAGTCATTCTTAGAATTTTTCTTGCTTTAAAGTGTAATTAGATTTATCCAGCTAAAAATCAAAATGGGCATGTACAATACACAATATCCTAACATAAACAGTTAACTAGTTCAAGAGTTTAAATAAGGATGTCTTCTTGCATTACTTAACATAAGATTAAAATAAAAAAAAAATTTGTTATGGTATTTACTGGGTCAATTATAGTTGTTAATTCTCTACAATTAGTTTATTTATATTATAGAATTTACTTATCTTTTCTAGACTATAAACAACTTTATAAGAATAAAGTGCAATTCAATGTACTAAAAACTTAACTTTTTATCTTTAACCTCCTGTTTTACAAGTTTTAAAACTGCTCTTATGCTACTGTTTTCAACAGAATGTTTTAAAAGAAGTGTAAATGAGATGTGTGGATTGGATGTTCAAGGCAGATACTCAATACTCATTCTTCTAAAAGCATATATCATTAAGCAGAACTGCTACTTTAATGTATTTATGCAAAAGAGTTGCATTTAATTTGTTATAATATTTAATCAAATCTTGAAAGTAATTGAAAAGTTTAAATTTACCCTTATAAATCAACAAAATGCAGGTGTGGTGCACCTGCAGGAAAATGTAGCTGTTGGTGGTTCCTATTAAATCAGTTCCTTTGCCTTCACCTTACTCTGTCTAGTAATTAGGGAGAAAAATCAGACAGGATGCTGTTTTTCAAGTACCACCTGGCTTTCTGGAAAACTTATCCTTAAAACAGCTGCTCCAGCAGATTTGGAATAACTACATCACTTTGTCACACTGGTGAAGAGCTGTTGTAATGCCTGTTATGTACATAATTCTTAACAAAATATTAATCTTATGTATTTTTTTTTGCACATTGCCCTTCCTGATTAATGTCAGTTTTGTGACATTAGAAGGACTGATTCCCTTTGCACAGATAGGGTTTCTGTCCGTAAGGAAGCCAGTTTCAGGGGTGACTAAATCTCACACTATTTTTCCTTATACATACACACACACACACACATATATATATATACATATATATACACACACACACACACATATATATATATACATATATATACACACACACACACACATATATATATATACATATATATACACACACACACACACACACACATATATATATATACATATACATATAAGGAAAAAGGAAAAATAGTGTTTTATATATAAGGAAAACCTTGCTCCAGTAGTAGCATAATGTATTAACAAAAGAGTAAAAGTTGAGGCCTCTATGCTCTTCTTAGATTCCCCCACCTCCAATATAGGAAAATAAGGAATGTAAAAAATAGGTGAAAAACCCCTGGAATTGCCCAGGAAGCCTGAAAGGGGGAAGAGCAGGATACTGTTGCAGCTACCCTCAGGCAGAGAAGAAGGTTTTAAAGCAGGGGTGGACAAAATATGGCCTGTGGGCTAGATCTGGCCTGCAAGGCCATTCTATCCAGCCTGCAGGGCCCCTAAAATTTTTTGAAAATTAATATTTCTCTCTCTTTGGCTCCTTTGGTCCAGTAGGACCCAGGGAAAGCCCGGTGGGCTCCCACAACAGCAGGGCCCGCACAACCCGGCCCCCCCAGCTGGAGGCCCCAGCAGGGGCTTCTGACCTGGGACCATGCGACTGCCCCGGTATAGGAACCTCAGGTAAGCGGGGGGAGAAAGGAGCTGGTGCAGAGTGTGGGGAAGAGCAGCCCCTCACCCGCCCTGTGACTCAACCCATCCCTGCTGCAGCTGCTCGCAGCCCACGTGGGGATGTCCCGAGTAGGCACAGGCAGCCTCATGTGGGATGCAAGCGGCTGCAGTGCGGGATGTCGGGCAGGGGGTGGGCAAGGGGCCGCTTTTCCCTGCACTCAGCACCAGCTTGTAACCCGCCCCCGCTGCCAGCCTGGGCCCCGCGTGGCTCCGGGCTTGCTTGTCAGGGCTGTGCACATTGACAGCAGCTGTGGCCTCCCCACTTGCCACGCCGGGCAGTGTTGGCTGCTGCTGCCCACCCAGAGCTCACATGCTGAGCAGTCCAGAGATGGCAGTGGCAAATGCTGTCCGGCGTGGCAAGTGGAGGGGGCTGCAGCTGCAGGCGAGCCCAGAGCCGGCACGGGGCCCAGGCTGGCAGTGGGGGCGCATTACAAGCTGGTGCTAAGCACGGAGAAAAGCAGACCCTCCCCCACCCTGTAGCCAGCGCTCCATGCTGCAGCTGCTTGCAGCCCACTTGGGGCTGCCTGTGTCTGCTCAAAACAAAATGAGGGCAGGATGCCCTGCTTGTGCCCCTGCCCCCAAGCCCTGATGCCCCTTGCCCCCCACCCAAAGCCCCTGCCCTCCAGCCCAGGCTCCGTAGCTGTCAGCAGCTACCCAAAACCTGGGCCAGCTGCAAACATTTGCTGCCTCTCTGCCCTGGCCCCCACCTGTGCCAGCTCAGGACAGCCCTGTGCAGGCTGTAAGTGGCTGCAGCAAGGAGCACCAGCCATGGGACAGGGGAAAGAGTCACTTTTCCCGAGCTCAGCACCAGCTCCTTTCCTGCAGGGGATCGGAGCAGGGTGTCAGGGCTGCACGCTGCCCCCCACCTGTACCATGGGGCTAGGGGGACACTGGGAGTGAGCGGGTGCACGGGGCCAAACCAGTGTCT